GTCAAGGGCAAGACAAAGAGAATAGATGTTCATGCTGAAGTCCTGCCTGTAACTCTAACAGGCGATCAAATGCTTTGATTGGAATCGCTCTGGATTGACACAAGCAGTAGGTTTCTCTTGGAGCAACTGGGGATCAGTAGCTGCACGGGATGAGAGGCTCTGTTCAAAGCTCCTGCCTGCCGTAAGCTTTCTCTGCGTAAAGTAGTAAGAAATAAATTCTCCTTGGCGTTAGCAGTACAAGTGATTAGGAATAGGTATGTCTGATATTCTTCTCACTTTAATTAATTCAGCATATGGCATGTTCTCAATAAATTGAGAACGTGGTAACTAAAGAGTATTCAAGCATTTTTGCTTGATTTTTTTACTTGGGAACAGCGCAGGTCTGCCAGGGTGAATAAAGAGTCGTCTCTTCTATCCCCTAAAGAACAACAGTAGCTTCTTTCACAGACTGCAGGATCTCCTCCCCTAACACTGGATGATCAAGGCAGCAATCTGGGAAATCACTAATATTTTCTAAATTTTCCGGGGAAGCCACGGGTCTTAGCATGGTTGCGCTTGCGACTGCCTGCCAGATTTGTTCGTTTTGTTTCTTTCTACGGCTTCTCTGTTATGCCCATGTTTCTCTGCTACCGTGTGCTTCGCAGGGACTGATTTTTATTACTTTCAAACCCTGGGTCATCTGAAGACGAAAGTGTGGCTTGGTTTGGTTTGGTTTGGTTTGGTTTCTTTATAACAAGCTGCAAAAGTTGCATGTGTTTAATGAACGTGAAACTGTGTCCTGTAGGCTGCTGCTTAGTTGGGGGAATAACGTTTCCTCCGAATCCCTGTAAGATTTCAAGCTAGTAACTTCGTACATTTATTTCCTTTTAATAAAGCCTCTGCTTCATGGACCCAGGGGCTCCTTCAGTGGCATCAGTCATCAACATACTCTTTTTCCCTCAGTGTTACAGTTCTTGAATCTATTTATTCTGTTATAGTTTAAATTCTTCTTGGCCTTATCAGCTGACCCTTATAGACTGCTTTGCCTGCCTCCTATGGAAGACCTCTTTATTATCTTTGCTTTAAACAAAGCACTGATCAAAGTCCTTTTTAATTGCTGCCATCTAATCTTTGTCCTGGAGAAACAAAATTTGTTTTTCAAAATAAACGATCTCTGCAGCCTTACCCAGCTATCAAATATTACTATTGACTATCTTATCAGGCAGTGTTAATGATGCCAATTCTACCTGCTTCATTAGCTATTTAAAGATTAACACTGAGTTTATAAGAGACAAGGGCAAGAGTGAAATATATGACCTCATTCCTTCAGGTACAATTCTTTCAGGAATCTGTCAGAGTGAATTGCTGATATAGAAAGGTTAATACTGTACCCCATATTTTTTATCAATTGTCTATTTTTTATCAAATCTGTGCCTTATCTCATGTCTGCTTTGAGATCTGCTTGAGTAAGGTACATAATTGAAGCCTCTTCCAAATTTAATTTTCCCTTCTCGGAAGTCCTGCAACTAAGAAAAAATAAATTCCTTTTACAAAATCTATTTTAGACAAGGAACACATGTCAAGTTCAGGTATTAACAGCTCGGCAACTACGCCCTTGAACACAAAATACTCCTCATCTTCAAATTGATCAGTAACCTAAAAAAGAGCATTTTAAGATAATATGCCCATTCTTCATTTCTTTTCAGTTAAAGGAAATATGTTGGTACAAATTTCCCTTAAAATTGGCTGTTGGCCTTTCCTAATAGTAAACTTGGTGAAATAAAATAACTGAGTTCTCTACATAGACTTTTGCTATTCAAAGATCTTGCTCACAAAGGGAAAGCTATTGGTAGCTATCTAGATCATGAAAAAATATGTTCTGTGGTTTTCTCTGCGCAACCCCTAGGGTGGCAAAAAGCCTCTGTTGTACAGCTTGTGTTCAAAACTGTCTAGATGCCGCTCAGTGAAATTTCACCAGAGTTCAATGTTCTTGAATTCCCTTCACCTTTGTCTCCACCTGTTTTGTGCAGAGGAAGGGAAAAACCGACCAAACTCCCTCGCTTCCCAAATACCTGCTTTGCTGAATCTTAAATCCTCATATTCTACTCATAAATAGTTTGAACTGCAAGATGAGTACATTCTTCCTGTTACAGGACAACATACCTCCTCATAGCTATCTGAGCAACAGGATTTATGAAGGACTGTTAACTTTCCTGCTGTGCCCCTTTGAAGTTCTCATGTACCTTTCGCTGCTTCTAGTCTATTCTGGCAGTTATTCTTGAACTTCTTCATTAAAAACAAACCAAGCTTTCACATGATTTTCTTTAAAACATTAATGCCATTATTGCTGCTTTGCTCTTGATGCTAAAAAGTTCCTCCATTTATTTTGACTTATGTGCAAGTACTTTCTGTAGTGCTTTTCTCCCTTTTCTTCTCCTCATGTACTTCACTTTTTTCTTTTTTTTTTTTCCACCCAAAATGCTTACAGAGAGTTTCTGTTCCCAAGTTTGCTTTTATGTGTCTGAAACATGACTGTTGAAAATCACTAGTATATTTTTCTGCTTGACGTCTTGCTTGACCTTGTGAAATTTGGAAACTGAAGTAAAGTTTCAGTGCGATTCTCCAGTTGATGTCCTGTTTTCCTGAGTGCTACTGTAATCTTCTTGTCTCTGGGTACCTGAGGAGTAGGAAACCCGTGGGAAAACTGCAGCTGTAGGCACTGAATGTGAGTTCTAGGTACTTGCAGGCTTTTTTCATAATTAAATGTTTAAGCTGATAATGATAAAATTAAAAATAGACAAGCAGTTCTGTTAGCCTGAGAGAATGCAGAGATCTTGTGTTTATCAAATATACTGCTCAAGTTTTAGATCACAAACTGGTTTCTGCATTAAGCATTTCCAGGCAACTCTATTTCTAACAATGTTTCTCTGAAATATATTTCCTGTATTGCCTCATTGGCGTTCTCTCTCCAGCAGAGAGTCGCATGTCCCTGTACCTTTGGCTCCTGATAACTGTCTTGCATGGCAATTTTTTATCTTCCAAGTGCACGATTTCCTTATCACTAAAAGTAAAGATTTTGAATCGTACCTCATGGCCTTAGCCTGGAGGCCAGTTCCTTGTTGCCAGCATTGGTGTACAGTTGACTTTTTTTCAGCTTTATGTTGTATTTGATGTACTTGGTGTTAAAACCCTTCCCACCCGTTACACGCTTAGTCTCACAGAAGAGTTTAAGTTTTAAACTTCTCAAGGTGATACAGGAAAGAAAACCACAGGATATGCCATTTTCTAGTTAAGGCAAGAGATTGGATTACTACAGGTAATCGCTCTATCTCCTCAGAGCTTGGCTTACTGTACCACCTATGCGTATTTTGCTACTCATCTCCCATAGTGGGCTTTTAATAAGGTGAACAGGCAAGCTACATGCAGAGCAGAAGGGGTGGCAACTCCCCTCGTGTCTCTTCCAAGCTGTCCCAGTGCTTGTCCTGTCAATGCTATCTGCACTCACTGCCGGTGTACCTACAGAAAACATATTGCTTTCCCTTAACTTGTATGTTCTCTTAGACAAACTACTGGAAGGCACTGAAAACTAGCAGTGCTCAGCTTCCATGCTGTATTGTTAGCCCGTATTTCTCTAACACCCAGGTTTTCTTAGTGGTGGATGTGAGCTCCTTGGAGGTCTACCCTACATCCGTGGCCAGGAAGGGCAGCTTTTGGTTAGTCCCATCATATTTGGGCAGGGAGAGGCAGCTCTCTGGCTACCAAGGCACTAAGACATCCAAGTTATAGTTCACAATCACTGGAGAAACTAGGCTCTGAGGTATTTGATGTTTGTTTGGCCTCTCAGGACCCATTATACCGTTATCTGTTACTGTAATGGATCCTACCAAGCTTCTCCTGTAGCTCATCAGCGCTGACCTTGGCACTCTCCAGTAGCGTAACCGTGGTTGACATAAACGTATGTGCAATGTTCCCATGGCAGCAGTTAAGGATGTACTTACCAGCAGTTTCTAATGCTGTAAAAGTGTTTCTGAAATGATGCAACTTCTGCTTAAACCTCGCCGTCTCTCTTGCAGGCTCTGAATACAGGGCTCTAAATGTTTTACATTAACTGTTAAAGACAATCTCAGAGGCTCTCTTATAGACATCTTTTTTTCTGCACAAGAGCCAATCCAAGCCAGTACTTTGCTTAAAAACAAAGGGGTATGTTCCCTGATAATATACGCTTTATATTAACAAAATGAAGGAAATTTGGTAGCATTGTACCGTTCATTCATGGACCAAAAAAAAAAAAGAGAACCATTTTGGTATAAAACGAAGCTAATGCCTTCTCTTTGCTAGAGGTTCTATAAGCTTTAAATATGAAGCAGCTTTAAGCATTCTGTGCCTTTTTTTATGTTAGACCCATCTTCACATTCTTTTGAGCAGTTTGGATGTTTGTGCCAGCTCTCAAAACTGATGACTCTTGCCCTGCTGAAGATTCAAAGGATTCAGATGAAAAAATGTATTTTAACTTTTGATCCCCATCCCTCCCCGACAGAAAAAGTTTTTGCCATTACCAAAACTGGAGAAGATAGGCTAGACATTAATGACAATAACAGCAGTGAGAAAACCTTAGTTAGCCCCAGCTTGTGAGAAACAGGCTCTGCCTTTCAGTTACGTAAACCAATTTTTTAATGGTTATAATTTTGTTACTGCTGACTTACTGAATTCTTAGTTTGAGAAAACTTTGAATAGTGTGATAGTTTAAACTATAGCTAAGCCAAAAAAGATGAGTGTAGTTTTGAAGAAAGAATACTTTTAAAATTCCATCCCTAGTTTATTAGTAAGGAATTCCTAGTGCTGGAATTATCTTGAGGACCATCTGTGAAACTGTAGTCTATGTTCACACTCTTACCATTGTTCTTTCTGGGCCTCAAGATTTCTTGGGGTCATTTGTTTGTTTGGATTTTTTTTTTTGGCTTAACTAAGGTACCAGACATTAAATATGTGCAATCTATCTGGAAGAATAGAGAGAAAACTGGTGTCAACACAAATAAAAACATGTATACAAGATTTATTGTAAACAAAACAATTCTGTGCAAACAGTGAAGACAAAAGGCCTCTGTTTTTAAGTGCCACATGACTTTGTAAAATGTAAAAACCACCAAGTCTACTCTGTTGGTACTCTATGAAGTAACAGCCCACAAATAGTCCACTTAAGCCAGTTATGTAATTAGGTTCAATTTTTCTTGCAGAGGGGAGCTCCAATCTTTGAGGTTTAATGTTGGCTCTTAAGCAAGATCTATTTTTTACTATCTCTGATGTAGAAAGGTAAGGAATAATCCAACAACAGAGCTGCTGCCACACCAGGCCCACCTCTGTTAGCTTCTCAGGCTCTCCATGTGTGATCCCCAGCCAGTACTGGGGCCCCACCAGCCATGGTAACAGCTCTGTTGTATTTACTCAGGCTGTAAAAATGGGGCACAGGATAATGCTCCAGCTGATCAAATTCATTAAGGTGGATGCGAGTTGGCAGTTTGTTCACCATCCTTTTCAGGGTGACAAAGCCTGCAATGACTTGGAAGGTAAGGAAAAGGGCAAAGACGGTATGGACTGCTCGCTCCAGTGGCAGAATTTTCAGACCTTCATTAAATAGCAAGAAGAGAATTATAGGCAACTGCAGGAGGAGACTCAGGAGCCAAAACCCAGCCAGCTCAGGGACCTGTAACAGAGAGACATCACCTATTAAAAACTGGCAGTTGAAGATGAAAAAATCCAAAATCTTGTGAAGAAATTTTTTTTTAATTTTCCAAAAGCCAGCACATAACGTGAAACATCAAAGTGAGGTGGCTTAGTAGTTCCGTATACTGTGGTTTTAACCATACTTATTTTTTCTGACAAAACAGTTTTAGGAGTGAGAGGGCCTTCTTCTGAGGGGAAATTTCTTGGAATGAACAAAATTAAATAGAAGCTGATGCCAAGGGAATGGAAGATGCAGATTCCTCTCCTCCACTTAAATCTCTCAGGTGAACTGCAGATCACTTTATTTCAGATAAACTCCAAAAAGCTCTCCTGCACAAATTAGTATGCACATGTGGTAACGTACCTTCTCCTGCAGATTGCCCATGTATCCCAGGTAGAGTCGGATGACCTCTATTAGAGGGGTCAGGATCATGACTGTGACCAGGATGAACTTGTAGTCATCTGACAAGACTGGATACTAGAGGGAAGAAGAGAGTAAAAGTTTCTGCTGTGCTGTTTCATAACATGCTGTTTGTGATTAAAAGAAGACACTGTATGCAACTAGTAAGTTGACAGTGTTGTATTAGCTTTCAAATACTCCTGAACCTCCAGTTTCAAGGAACTCCCAAATAAACGTAGTAACCTCTAATTCCAGTGAGCTCTAACTCAGTACCAGGAGGTGTTTGATCAGGACATATTACATTGGCAAACCACCACTTTCCTTCAGGACTCACCTTCAGATGGAGCATAACAACTGCGGTGAGCCACCAAAATGGGAAAAAATAGACATTGAAATAGAGGGACATCTGCAGTGGTAAACTGGAAATGATTTCATGACCTGTAGATAGAGAAAAGTTTTTATCATTCCTAGTTTGTTCCATCCTTCCCTTCCATAAATATGTCAGAAAGATACTGTGCCATCTTAGCTTCAAGCAGGGCATTAACACTTCCCAGTCAAAATAAAACATTATGAAAAGTATTTTTATATATCCAGAGGAAAACTTATTACCCTCTCTTGAATTACACAATTTCCTGGAATCTAATGCAACTTTCAGGTCACAGGACACAGAATTTTTATCACTTAGTCATATAATCAAGTGTCTGCTGATTACCTGGTGACGTATGGCTTACTCCACAATCTCTGAATGATAGGCTTAGCTCAAGTAGGGCTGTACACTGACACTGGAGAAAGAGTTAGTGGTTATTTGATTGCTCTTACTATAAGTGAATGGCCGAAGTTTAAAGGAGTACCTACTGGATTATTTTTACTTTGTAGGTGATCCGCCTGAGTAAGGACTTGCTGCTAGAGAACAGGTGTGCATTGCCCACTCTTCCTTTTCAGTGTTTATTTAAATAGACATTTGGATGGAAGCAATGTTGCAAGAAGACAACAATTCTTCTAATTCTTAAGAGCTAACAGTTTCAAATATATGTCAAACCAAAACTTATCCTTTAAAGACTGGAAGGAACAAGATACATTCATACACTGTAGAGAAAAGTAAATGTCGAACTCTCACGTGCAGGCAGTAAATTCTGTATTTAGGATTTTACAACAGGCCTACAAGATTAGACTTAAATCAAGGGAAAATTTAAAAGGGTATTCTGAGGGAATCATTTGGTTTGTAATGGGTGAAGCTTTATTGCCACATTCTAGTTAATTGATACTGCATCCCCTTTACTTCAAACACCAACAGCCTCCTTTCTCATGTTTTTCCCAAATGAGGTTTGTAGGCACATCTTCACCTGGTAGTACCTGAGCAAGTTTAGAAAGTATTCACTGGGACCGGATGACTTTATTAAGTCCTGTGCCCCTGTCACAATGGTGATATTCAACTGGCAATTAGTCTAAACAGTCGCACTGTCTCCCTTCCAGCCTCAGAACCACCTCTCTTCTGACACTGCCTTCTCTTTCCGTATCTTCCAACCGCTCATACCTGTCTTTGTTCCATCTCAGTCTGGCATCCCTGTTTCCAGTCCAGCCACATGCAGCCTGGTACAGTCTGTTCCAAAGTCTTTATGCTAGTTGCGGAAGTGTTCATGGTAGCTACTAGACTAGGTGGGAAAGGAGGAGGATTTGGGAACAGAACTAAGACAGACCTTAAGGGTAGGATGTGAGGGGTAGGGATTTATTATACTAAAATAGAAGGTGCAAGACAACCTATATATTTATTTAATAATCCCATTTTGAAGCATCAACACTTCCTTACATCTGCAAAGGAATGAAAATTTGAGGTACCTCAAAAACAACTTCACTATCTACCTAAAATTGTCCCAGCTGTCCTAACAAATTAATCTCAAACACCAGGAGGACTTTGGAGGGCAGAAAGATAGCATTCTAAACCACTGTTTTACCTTTAAAAAAAGCCATGGCCATCCAATTACAGGTAGTTATGTTTCTGCCCTATCTGTATTGGATGAAAATTTAATGGTTCATAGCCATATTACTTAAAAACAGAGAAGCCAAGAGCTCAAATTTCAATTGTTTATAATGTTTTAGGTATGTTAAAGGCTTCACTGATACAGCACTGGTATTTGTAATTTCTGATTAAGTTTTAAAACTATTTTAGATGAATGTTTAGCAATACAAGCCAATTCTAATTCATTTCTCTATTCCTAAATTGAACTAATGCTTATTTTCTGGGATTGCTAAAATCTGTGGAAAAGCCAGACAGTATTGCTATGGTCAATTCTTTGATGTTAGAGCAACTTGCGAAGGTATAGATGTGTAAAATTAATTTCTGAAATCCTGATCTCCAGTAAGTTAAGGGTACATTTGCAATTGGTTTCAGTGGGTTGGATATTCACAAAGGAGTTTTCATAACGGGAAATGGAAAAGAAATTACTAAGAACAGAAACTACTGCTGGAGTTAAGAAAAATATTTGCATTATCTGATAAATTAAATGAAGAATTAGTAACTGTTAGCAGTTTAACTACACAAAGAAAATGAGCGCTCCTTTCTTGAAATGACTTTTGGATAATTTTAACAGCTTGGAATGGATTTATCAGTTGAAATAAGTAGACGCTGTGTTTATTTTCATGGCTACTGTCACTCTAAAGGTATGAAAAGCAGGCATGTTGGCCTGCAAAATTCAATGGCAATATGATGAACAGTTGTCAGTCATTACAATAGACTCAGGAAAATAAAGAGAAAGCTGGCATATTGTAAGCTCAAGTTTTCTGCTACCTAACTCTAGCTTAGTACACCTCTGCATGCTTTAAGCATCTGGTGCCCTAACTGTGCAGGCCTACTGAGCTTAAAACAATAGCTCATCTCTTTTTATTTGTTGTTATCTGTAAATAATTTTTATTTTTTATTTGGGCATGGGGTGAGCACAGATAAAATCCACTGTTATTCACACACTAGGCAATATTTTACACAGACTCGCTTACTAAGCTGTAAAGGTGAGTGTAGAGTGTTCTTCATACCTGCTATTAAATCAAGGCTGTTTAATGTTTTAAGAAAGCCTGTCCCTCATCTAAAAGGAACCTCTGCTTTCTGCCGCTGGTCCGGCACCTGTGTTACTGGGCCGGTACCTGGGTTACTCCGAGACCATCTCCCCTTCACGTGGAGGAGAGCGACGGGGCTCTGGGACCGGCCGCCTCAGCCTTCCCCCTCGACGACGACGGGAGGGCGAAGCGGCTACACGCTGCCCAGGGGGAAACGGAGAGACGGCGGCGGACACCCCGCCGATGGGAGAACACGGCCCTTCCCCGCGGCCGCCAGCGCGACGGCTGACGCCGCCATCTTCGCTCCCCGCCTCCGGCCGCAGCCGCCGCCATTTTCGTTGCTGTCGCTCCTCCCGCTGCGCTTTTTTTACCTGCGCCGTCGCCCGGGTACTGCGGGCCGGTGCGGTGGCTGTCGGTGAAAACGGCGCGGCTGAAGGAGCCCAGCCGGCTCCTCAGGGGCTCGGGCAGCGCCATGCTGTGGCGATGAGGCGACGGCGCGGGCGCGCAGGCGCAGTGGCGAGGGAGGCGGCGGCGGCGGCGGCGGCGGCGGGGGCGTTTTCCCGCCAGCCGCGGACCGGGCCGTTGGCTCCCTCGGGGGGTCCGGGTTAGGGCGAGGTGTCTCCCGGCGCGGCGGGGAGGAGAGCGGAGCGTGTACCCCGGGAACAGTGTTATAGTAGAGTTTTCTGGGAGAGATACCGCGCCCAGAAATTTATGATTGCTGGTGTGATGTAAAAACACGTTTATCTGCGCTATGCGTGTGAGAGCGGTCACTGCAGCCTTGGCGTGCGCTTATATGTAGAGGTGCGTTCCCGCTTATTTCTGTCATGTCCGTGTGTGTGCATGGAGGAGAGTATTTCTGCTTGTCGCGGTCACCGTGCAAGCATGGTGCTTTCCTTCCTGATTAGGACTGTCATCCATGGAAAACGAAAAAGCAGCGCCCAGCAGGCAGGTCACCTCAAGCTAGCTGTTAATGGCACAGTCAGCGATGAGCCCAGCATGTGATATTTGCCCCAAACAGTGTCCTTTTGCCTCAGAGGTGCTGGTGCATGCCAGCCCTGAGAGTCTTCCCTCAGCTCTTACATCGTTCTGGTTCCAGTCGGAGTGGATTTTTTTTTTTTTTTTTTTCTAGCCCGTTAGGGCAGGGTTTGGGTTTTTCTAAGAAGATAATTATGAAATACTGGTTTAAGGAAAGCAGTTGCAGGACTGCTCAGCTTCTGTCAGGATAAATCCAGGGGAATGATGGTACTTGATGATGGCTAGAGAGAGGGGTAAGTAAAATAGAGATGGATATTGACAGCTATTTTATTACTTCAGGTGAATATGAGTGATCCTTGTTTTAGGATGTATTTTCTAGTTTAGTTATATCTGAAACTATTTTCCTCAAGGAAACCTGTCTGTGTCACTGTTGAGATAAGAGCAGCTGTGAGATCGACACAGCCTTTTTATTCTGGTTAGCTTTTGTCCCTTACAGGACACCCTCATGGTATTATGCAAAATTAATAATGTATTTACAAGTTGTGCTTGTTCTTCTTTTATTTGGAAAATGTAGCCCCCTACAAATGAGGTAATCCGTTCACCAGATTTTTTTAGCCCCCTTAGGGCATGATTCCTTCTGAGAAGGATGCCATTCTTAAGTATGCAGGACATTATTTTCTGCAAGATCAGAATGAAAGCATAGCTTGTGCCTTTTACTATGAGAACTGATAACATTTGTGATTTTGCTGTACCTAATACGACACGTCAAGTCCCTTCTGCGCCCCCCTCCTCTCGCAAAATCATATTTAGCTACTTCCCTGGGTGATCATTCTCTAGTATGAGTTTCCAAACTCAATTATCTCTGACTAAATAATTTAAAGCCTACTTTAAATTTAATTTCATTATGTCTCACTGGGAGAACTACAGAGAAAAATGGCTAAACAAGCAGGAGTTCTGAGAAATCCATTTGACTTTCAAGCTGATGACTGATGTGGTATTGACAACAGATACTTTTCAAAGAATTTCTCCAAACATGGATATGTCAACGGGAATCTGCATTAAAAAAACCCTGAAGACCTTCAGAATAAATGAAGAGGAAATTATTTTTAAATAATGGCAGCAGATTGGAAGGGGGAAGGAATTAAAAATATCCCAGAACTTCAGGGCATGCTGTGCGTGTCCCCTTAGAGGCATGGAGGCAGTGGGCTTTGCTGTGTAAGTGCTCCTAGAAGATAAAGTTTTAAACACAGGAAGGGGTTATCCCTATTTTACAGATAAGGCAGAACAAGAAACATTGAGTCCTGTGAAATGCTGTTTGCAGTTTCTGTTGGAACCTACAGAAAGAGGCACGTAATTTAGCATGTCCTGGACATAGGCAGACAGGTAAGTAGTCCAGTGAAAAATACTCCTTACAAAGTTGTGCTGGGTTTCTGTGGTGTGGGTTTTTGGTAGCGGGGAGGGGGCTACAGCGGTGGCCCCTGTGAGAAGCTTCTCGAAAGCTTCCCCGGCTCCAAGTCAGACCCAGCTCTGGCCAGGGCTGCGCCTCTACAATAATGTATTTAAGAAAGGGAACCTGGGAGGGGGTTGGGACTTGTGAGGAGGAATTGCAAGAAGGATGGACACCAAGGTCAGCAGAAGGAAGGAGAAAGATGTGGGAGAGGTGTGCTGGAGCAGAGACCCCCGTATCCCGTGGTGAGACAGCAGGGCCACCCGCTGCCACGCATGGAGGTCCACGTTGGAGTACAGATTGACCTGAAGCCTGAGGAGAAAGCCACTTCAGGACAGGTGTCTGGGCTTAAAATAGGCAGGGACCCTGAGGGGAGAAGTGGTCCCCGCTGTTGTGGTTTGGCGCTGGGAGGACTGCAACACGCAGGGGGGGACCCACGCTGGGGCAGAGTGGGAACGGCTGCGGCCCGTGGGGGGGACTCGTGCTAGGGAAGGTTCATGGAAGACTTGTCTACAGTGAGAGGGGAGGCACACGGAGCAGGGAGGGATGTGCGGCGTTCCCCCCACCTCCAGAGCAGGAAGGAGCAGCGAGCTGGCTGTAACCCCCATCCCCTGCCCCCTGCACCGCTGGGGGCGGAGGGAGAGAGGTGGGGAGCAGAGCTGAGCCTGGGAAGAAGGGAGGGGTTGAGGGGAGGTGTTTTTTGGATGTGGTGGTGCTTCTCACTGTCCCCACCATGTCTGTGAAGTGTTGTTTTTGTTAGCATTTGAATTTAAGTGATGTTTTCTTTTTTTATTCCCCCATCAAGTCTGTCTTTTGCCTGTGGTCATAATGGGTGAGCAATTCCTCGTGGTCCTTAGATGGATTCTTTGAGCTATTCCTGCTCCATATTCTTCTTCCCATCTGATGGGGTAAGGAGTAAGTGAGCAGCTACGTGGTTCTCATTTGCCTTCTGGGCCTAAACCACGACAAAAGTATTGATGAAGTCGGGCAGAAACACCAGGAGGCCTGCACGGGTGAACACGGAGCTCCTGCACAAGCTCAAACACAAAAAGGAAGCCTACAGAGGGTGGAAGCAAGGACAGGTAGCCTGGGAGGAGTACAGAGAAACTGTCCAGGTAGCCAGGAATCAGGTTATGAAGGACAAAGCCCTGATAGAATTAAAACTGGCCAGGGATATCAGGGGCAATAAGAAAAGCTTCTATGGGTATGTTGGTGATAAAAGGAAGACTAGGGAAAATGTGGGCCCTCTGGAAGGAGACCTGGTTACCTGGGATATGGAGAGGGCTGAGGTACTCAGTGGCTTTTTTGCCTCGGTCTTCACTAGCAAGGTCTTCAGCCACACCACCCAAGACACAGAAGGTAAAGGCAGGGACTGGGAGAATGAAGAACCACCCACTGTAGGAGATAAGGTTCAAGACCATCTAAGGAACCTGAAGGCGCACACATCCATGGGACCTGATGAGAAGCATCCATGGGTCCTGAGGGAACTGGCAAATGAAGTGGCAAACCACAACAGTGGTTTAAAGCCCAGAGGGCAAGTGAGCACCACTGCAGCTGCTCACTCACTCCTTCCCCCTCAGGAATGGGAAGCAGAAAAGTACAACAAAAGGCTTTGGGAATTGAGATAAGGACAGGGAGCGATCACTTGCCCATTATGGTGGGCAAAAGACAGACTCGAATTAAAAAGAAGATAAATTAATTAAAACGCTAACAACAACACTTACAGAGTAGGACAGTGAGAAGCATTACTACATCTTAGAAACACCTTTCCCCACCCTTCCTTTCTTCCTGGGCTCAGCTTTGCTCCTGATTTCTCTACCTCCTTCCCCTCAGGGGATGGGGGTTGCAGTCAGTCCCACCACTCCTTCCTCCTCAGGGGAGGACTCCTCACACTCTTCCCCTGCTCCAGTGTGGGGTCCCTCTTACGGATCACAGTCCTGCACAAACTTTCTCCAACATGAGTCCTTCCAATGGGCCACAGCTCTTCGTGAGCTGCTCCAGCGTGGGTCCCTCCCACATGTTGCAGTTCTCCTGGCACCCAACTGCAACAGCGGGGGCTTCCCAAGAGAGTCTCAGCCTCCTGGTGCAGCTAGCTGCTCTGGTGTGGGTTCCTCCGTGGGATGCAGGTGGCATCTGCTCCACCAGTGACCTCTGTGGGTGCAGGAGGGTCCCTGCTCCAAGGTACCTCTCCACCTTCCTCCTCCTTTTCCACTGACCTCTGTGTTTGAAGAGGCGTCTCCCTCACAAGTTCTCACAACTCCCACTCTTCTCGGGTTCCCCTTCTTAAATATGTTATCACAGAGGTGCAGCCACCATCGCCGATTGGCTTGGCCCTGGCCAGAGGTGGGTCTGACTTGGAGCCAGGGAAGCTTTGAGAAGCTTCTCACAGGGGCCACTGCTGTAGCCCCCTCCCCGCTACCAAAAACCCCAACACAGAAACCCAGCACATTCCACCCCTTACCTCTGAATCGCATACTTAAGAATTATCGTTAAAATCCATTCATCAATAATGAATGACAGTATTCACAATCTTCACTGACATCAACACAAAAACCCCAGAAAACAAACCAAAACAAATTTTTACAGGCACTAGGGCTTCACTGAGAGCAAATTGTGCCTGATGAATTCGGCGGCTTTCTACAACAAGGTTATAGCTGGATAAGGGAAGAGCAACTGACACATCATCTACCTGGACTTGTGCAAAGCATTTGACACTGTCCTGCATGACATCCTTGTCTCCTAAATTGGAGAGATGTGGGTTTGATGGATGGACCACTCAGTGGATAAGGAATTGTCTGGATGGTTGCACTCAGAGTTGTGGTCAACAGCTTGATGTCCAGGTGGAGGAGGATGATGAGTCACGTTCCTCAGGGGTCAGTGTGGGACTGGTGCTGTTAAGCATCTTTGGTGGAGACATAAACAGTGGGATTGAGTGCACCC